GAGGTTTTCTGCTCGAGGTGTGGCAGGAGAATAGGGACATTGGGGGAAGTCAAGGTCTGACACATGGGGACAACAGAGATACTGAGGCAAAAGCCCCTCACAGGGCAAGCTAAAACACTGCAGGGCTGGGGGAGGCCAGAGCCTTGAGAGACCCTCCCCTCGTCTCCAGCCCGTCCATTTTTCTGCTGACCCCGACTTTCAGAAAGGGCTCCTCTGTCCAGCCAGGCCGGGCCCCACTCCCTGAGAAAGGAATGCCAGCTCCCTGAAGTCTGACAGTGTCCCAGTCTCCCACTAGAAGGGCTGAGGTAGGTCCCTGGTAGGGGACCACAGGGCTGGCTGGGCCTGGGCAGTCACCAGAAGGATAGTAGCCCTGTCACCTTCCCCTCCACCTGCCTAAATAGCCACCAGCAAGTCCTGGAGGCTACAGAGATGCTCCTAAATCCCTCCTTTCAGACCCCTTGAAAAGGCAGGAGGACCCTTCAGGATCCATCCATCCCAATGCTCGGAGGCCTTGGAGTTGCGGCAGTCTGGTGCAGGCACCCCTCAAGTACCTTCTCTCTGCTGGGCTCTGGGCCCTTCCTCCAGGCAGGTGCATTTTTAAGCCTCACCCGCAGCCCTGACGTCTCCTCTGGACTCCTGCTCCAGGCCAGACTGCTCACTCCTCCTCCTCAGCCCATGGTCCTCTGCTCTAAGTACACTCTTTCTTGCTCTCTATATGCCATGTTCACGTCTATGCCTCTCATCCACTCTGGGGCACCAAAGCCCTACCGCCACTGATCCCCCTGTCCTTCCTCATTCCGTTACCACACATCCAGGGGAAACCCTGCTCCCTCCCCAGGGTCTGCTGAACCCCAGAGCACAGAGCCATAGGTGCCCAGACAGGGGCACAACCAGCATAGGCCATCAGGTGTCAGCAGAGTTAGGACCCCCAAGCAGCCTCCCCCAACAACATATAGTCAGACCTGTAAGAACTGAAAGGGACCTCAGAATATGGAATGTCAGAGCTGGGAGGGACCTCAGAACATGGAATGTCAGTGATGGAAGAGACCTCAGAACATGGAATGTCAGAGCTGGGAGGGACCTCAGAACATGGAATGTCAGAGCTGGGAAGGCTCTTAAAATACAGACTATCAGAGCTGAGGGATTTTAAGACAGAGAGTGTAAGAACTGGGAGAGATTACAAAACACTTTGTCAGGGCTGGGAGGGCCCTTAGAACACAGAATATCAGATCTGGGAGAGCCCTTAGAACACAGAATGTCAGAGCTGGGAGGGCCCTTAGAACACAGGATGTAAGAGCTGGGAGAGAGGGTCCTTAGATCACAGGATGTAAGAGCCGGGAGGCCCTCAGAACAGGGAGTGTTAGAGCTGGGAGGGCCCTTAGAACACAGAATGTCAGAGCTGGGAGGGCCCTTAGAACACAGGATGTAAGAGCTGGGAGGGAGGGTCCTTAGATCACAGGATGTAAGAGCCAGAGGCCCTCAGAACAGGGAGTATTAGAGCTGGGAGGGCCCTTAGAACACAGAACATCAGAGCTGGAAGGGCCCTGAGAACCCAGAATGTCAGATCTGGGAGAGCCCTTGAAACATAGCATATCAAAGCTGGGAAGGACCTTAGGACATAAAAAGTCAGAAATGGAGGAAACTGAAAATAGAGAAAATCAGAGCTTGAACTTCAGAATATAGAATGGGTGAGGATCTTGTTCAGCTCCATTTCCACAAGGGCTTTGGTCCTCAATGTTTCGCCGTGTTGCTTTTAGCCTAGTTCCCACATGGTCCCTTCTTTGGTTATTAGAAAGCCTTTGGGGCTTTCCCCGGGGATTCTCAGAACAAGACGCTGGGTCCTTCCCCAGGCCTCTGAGTGGAGCTGCTCAGGCTCAGATGATGCCTCCTCCACATGGGCCCTTGGGGGGGGGGGGTGGTGGTGGTGCAGGGAGAGACTGTTCCCCTCTGAGGCAGCGGCTCTGTTCCCGTCTGGGATTCTTTCTGTCTCCCTGCTGACTGCTGAGGATCTGGGTGACAGAGGAAGGGGCGGAGGGCTGAATACAGAAGGCTGCCGTCAGCTCTCTTCAAACATACAAACTCACAGGCAAATCCACTCAATAACCAGTGGGGCTCAGGTCCTCTGGACGGACCAAGAACAGCATCTGGGGTCACAGGAAACAATTTTGAATCCAGGCTGCACTGCTCTCTACGTGCTTAACTGATAAGACATGGGCCCGTTCTGAGCCTCATTTTCCTCCTCTGAAAAGGAGTTGGGCCAGATGATCCCCCAGGTCTCTTCTGTGTTGTGATTCTACAGCTCACAGAGGCCTTGAAGTCAGAGACCTGGGTTCAAATTCTGCTGAGACACCTAGTAGCTGTAGGACCATGGCTCAGTCCCTTGACTTCTCAATGTGGCAGGGCTGTTCATGGAGGTTAAGATGAGGTAAGCTATGGCAAACATTTCTGTGACTCTCAGGGAACAATTCAGGTCCCTCCGCTTTTAGCAGTGACAGACCACAGAGAAGGGGAGCCTTATCTCCAGAAGCAGCCCACAGGCGTGGGGTGATCTGAGGAAACTGGGAGAAGGCCAGCTCTCTGCCCCAAATATCGGGAATTCCATCATTAGGGATTCATTCCTTTTGGGCAAGCGTTATCTTTTCCAGGGTCCTTCTCTGCCATGTAAATGACTCTGGAAGGTATAGCAGACCTTGATGGTCTGACCTAGCTGAGAGGGTGGTGTCCACCCGGAGCCAGATGCAGAGAGAAGAGGGTTTGGCTTGAGCAGAGGACAGGGGGAGATGGTGGAGGCTGAAGATGGTGACGTGCAGGAGTCACAGGACACAAGGGTCACAGCTGGGAGGGCCCTTAGAACATGAAATGTCAGAGCTGGGAGAGCCCTTAGAACACAGGATGTCAGAGGTGGGAAGGCCCTTAGAACCAGAATGTCAGAGCTGGGAGGGCCCTTAGAACACAGAATGTCAGAGATAGGAAGGCCCTTAACTATCAAGTTCATTCCACTTATTTCATAAATGAGAAAACTGAGGCCAGAGAAGGCAGTGGCCTGAGGTTGCTGCCCATGTGGACACCTCTTCTAAGACACCTTGGCTGGGCCTCATGGGGACGGGGGAGCAGGGATGTGTGAGGAACTCCGCCTCCCTCCTCTCTGAGCAGCCGGGACCCTTTGAGACTCTCCAGGGGGCAGGAGCATCTGTGTGGGAAGTGTGATGGGCAATAGCAAAAGAAATCGTGGAAAATAAAACCCTCCTTGGCCTCAGCTCCATGTATTTCCAGACCTTTATTTTCCATTTTCAAAAACTCCTCAGAGGCTTCAGGCCCAAGATAGAGGGCTCCCCTTCCCCTCTGTCCTCCTCTTTCTGTCTGCAGTGGGGATGGATGGGGTAGTGCAGCCTGCAGTGCAGGCTGGGGAGGTTCCTGGAGTGAGGCCCTGTGCTGCGTCACCACCCCAGAGCCTGCCCTCCCCCTGCCCCATCTCGCTGGTCCCCCTCAAGAGAAGTCTCTGGCTTGAAACCTGCCTACTCTTGGAGACCGAGGCCCCAGACTACTGAAGCTGGAACCCAGAGTGACTCCGGACACTGCCCAAAGGCACACAGCCCAGTGGGAAGTGTTAGGGGGTGAGGAAGGCCTGGGAAGGTTGCTCGTGGACTGTCAGAGTCAACAAGGGTTTGGGAGACCACCTAGTCTAAAAGCCAAGACCCAGAGAGAATAAGCCCTGGTGATATGAATCACCTTTTACATGGTGGAGAGGATCAGTGAGCAGAGAGCTGGACCTTGGCAGTCAGGAAGACCTGAGTTCAAATCCTGCCCCAGGAATTCACTAGCTGTGCGGACCCTGGGCAAGTCATTTCACCTCGCTGCCTGCTTCAGTTTCCCCATCTGTAAAATGGGAACAATAACCATACCTACTTCCCAGAGTTGTTGTGAGGATCAAATATAGTAATACTTATAAAGCATTTAGTGCAGAGCCTAGCACACAGTAGATGCTATATAAATATCAGCTCCTATTAACAACAGCAAAACACGCTGCAAACCAGAAAGGAAGTTACTATCATTAGAGCTTTTAAAGTACTTTGTTCTATTTTTAAGTTTTGTTGATGCCTCTGGTTTTCAGATGACACTCATTTCAGGACACATGGCCTTATGCTCAGTCCACCCTTCTAAAAGAAAAACAGCTACACAAAACCAAACTCATGCCCTCGGCTGACCGCACATGCAATGCTCCGCACCCATCGTCCCCCACCTCTTTGCACTGGAGGGAGGTACAACTCCAGAGGCCTTTAATTTTCCACTCTCACATGGATGCTCCTCAGGTAGACCAATCCCTTCATTTTAATGATGAGGAAACTGAGACCCAGAGAAGTTAAGAGAGCTGACCACAGTCATAAAAGGCAGGATTTGAACTCTGCTCCTCAGACTCCAGTGGGTTTTTTTTCCCCTATCACATAGCACTGCATCTTCTGAACTCAGATTGCTCTGTTACCTTCTCTTGCCCTCATCTAGCGGTGAAGACTGTGTGACTTGCCTAGGGTCACACAGGTAGTAAATAGCACAGGGAGATCTGAACTCAGCACCTCTGACTCTGGAGCAGATGCTTTTCACACCAAGCATGCTGGCTGCTTCCTTGTTCCTTTCATTTCCCATTCCCTTATTATGTCTGGGCCCACAGAGAGAACTAACTAAGGCCCAGAAAGGGGAAAAGGCACCCCAGGCCACCCAGAAAGTTAGTGGCACAGCCAAGATGCCAACACACATCCCCTCTTCTGGGAGCGCCTCCCACCGATGAGATCCCAGATGCAGTGCTGGGTCCTCTCCCTGTGGCCTCCCAGGCCAGGCTGCTCTGCCCTGTCCAGCAGCAGAGTGGTGCTGAAAGCACCCTGCAGGGCAGATGGCTGAGAAGGAGGCGGTGTGGAGGAGCCCAGGGGCTGGGCTACTAGGCTTGGGCTCCCTCCCTGCTGGCCTCCCCCTCCTCCCCGGCCCCAGTGGCCCCTGATAGCACTTACTTCTCGGCTCTCGAGGCCCGTCCACGGTCACCTTGATGGCCCGGTGGTAGGTGGCCACTTGGGTGGGGTTGGTGAACACCGTGATGGTCAGCGTGAAGCTCTTCCCTGGGGGTAACAAAAGGTGGGGGGAGGGACAGATGAGATCAAGGAAAGGTGGTACGGGGTGAAGCCGGGGGCTGGGTGGAGGTCGAAGTGCAGGCTGCCAGGTCAGAGGTCAGAGCTTCTGTGGTGGGAAACAACAGCCCCACCCGGGTACCAAACCGTGGCTGCGGCCCCTATCTCTGACCTTGCCAGAGGGGACAGGAAGCCACTGGGGACAAGAGAGAACTTATGGGGCAAGCGGGGATTGCCCTGGGCAATCCCGGAGTGAGACCAGGATCAAACAGTAGTGCTGGAGGGAACTGACAGAGGAGGAAACTGAAGCTGGGGGCGGGGGGGGGGGGGCACACAGGGAGGGACAGAAACAGCAACCCAACACAGATCCTATGACTGTCTCTACCAAATAAGGCTGCCTCCTGAATTCAGGCACCTTCACCTCCTCCCATCCTCATCCGGCCCCGGGCCAGGGGGCAGGAGACCAGGTTCTGGTCCTGCTTCTGCTGATAATGGACCAGGTGATCACCGAGGGGTCAGCTATCCCCTCTGGCCTCAGTTTCCTCCTCTGTAAAATGATGGCACTGGACTAGATTATCCCTTCCAGTTCTAGTATCCTGTGATTAATGGAACAGACATAGTCATAGGATGTTCTGAGTTCCCTCCCAACTCTGCCATTTTCTGTTCTAAGAGCCCTCCTAGCTCTGACATCCTATGTTCTAAGCTCCCTCCCAGCTCTGACATCCTATGTTCCAAGCTCCCTCCCAGCTCTGACATCCTGTGTTCTAAGGGCCCTCCCAGCTCTGACATCCTATGTTCCAAGCTCCCTCCCAGCTCTGACATCCTATGTTTTAAGCTCCCTCCCAGCTCTGACAGTCTGTGTTCTA